ACTCTTGATTCAATTCCACAACTTCCATCAGGATCTTCCAAGCCTAGCTAGTGACCAAGGTAGCCCAATTGAGATCGAAAAACCCTTTCCCTCCCTCCAACCAAGCAATTGCCATCTTCTAATAAAAGGTTAGACCACTGGATGGGACGAATGGTGTAGGCACTAATCGAGGTCAAGCTCTTGGGCTGTGGAGAAGTGGAAGGTGTTGTCTGCTCCTTTAATAGTATTTGCTAGCAGTGGTGACCTTTCCAAGTCCCTATAGTTCGAGAAGATTGGGGTTATCGAGAAGAGGATGGTGTGTCATCTTTCCTTCAATGCTGGCTCAGTAGTAATGACCCTATAGGACACTTATTGAGTCGAGACTTGTTAAACAATGCTAGCACTCGACTAGCCATTGGTAGCATAGAAGCATCCTTTCGACTCTCTAGAGGTGGCTGGTCTCGTCTCTACTCCTAAGTAATTGCTTCATCTCAGTGGGTTAAAGTGATCGAGCAACAAATAATATGTTTTCCTCCCATGTTGTGGCCCCTCACCAGCTTGGAATATATTCACATGAAGGTCCATATATGTAAATAGATGAAATTAGGATTGAGTCTACGAAAGCAAAAAAGATGGAGCAAAAGTTAATCCTAAGTACCGACCCCTAGATGTAGGACTCAGACCACCATCCACAAGCTATTGCTTCCTCATCTGCTAGATGACGGTGAACTCAGTTAGGGTGGAAGCATATTAGTGATGTTGCTCTCTCCAACCCATGCAATCTCAGGGTAACATTCTCAAACTTTTGAGTGGCCCAAGTCAAGTTGACTAGCGACCCCCTCCATAATTTTTTTTTAAAATTTTTTTTTTTCCATCTTTTGTTAGAGGAGGGAGGCCTCTTAACTTTGTACCTAAAACAAGTAAAGGGAAAATAGGTCAAATCCTTAATACACACATTAAAGCATGCATATAACTGAGGGGAAATATCGAGTCTTCGGTGTTCTTTAACAAAAGTAGTAAGATATTATTAGGAATTTAGCACCATATATGTGGGAGAGAATTTTTAACTATTCAGGACTTCAATAAAAAAATGATAGAGGGAAAATCTAAGTATTGCCTCGAAGGTATCAATCAAAGTATAAAAGTAATGATGCGATACATAAGATCGATCACCTAACCGAAGAGTAATCAAGTCAAACTCAATCAGAATAGAAAAAGCTTCTTTAATATGATCTAGATTAGAAGTAGATATCCGAGATTTAAAATTGAACGATCTCACACTTAATGGGGTAACCTCCCTCAATACAACCACTTCGGTCTCTTCACTAGAAGGGGAAGTTTCTCTTGTTGACACCGATGACAATGATAGAATGAACCATTTGGAACGCATGTGTGAAAAGAGGAGTTCAACTCAGAAGAGGAAGTCATTTGGACTTTTAGTTAAGGCTAGGGCTAGAAAAGTTTAAAGTCTCTAAAGGTCGAATACACCGAGTCGTTTAAATTGTTCTGAAAGCATAAGCAAACAAATAAAAGGGATTTACTATTTATAAGGGTCTAATGACCCTAGAGCTCTCGATTAGGTAATCACCTTGTCGTTCAATTATCCAACTGATAGGTCATGTGACAGCACACTATCACACGGAGGCGAAATAGTGTAATCATAGTGACCTTCTAAATTCTTGATAGTTCGACGAATCACCATATGTACATATTAGAAAATGTCATGTGAACACAATATTAGGCTATTATTATGGGATGTTAACAAATAGATCTAGTCGGGTTGATGAACCATTCAAATAACATACCCATCAAAGTTTGAGGCAAAGGTAGTGCACACATTTGAATAAGATCAAGTTTTTAAGGTTTTAAGTGATGCACCCACTCAATGGCATAAAGCTGAAACCCTTCCTACTAAAACAGTCATTGATGTGAGACTAAAATGGTCGAACATGGTTTTCGATGATGTGCAACTAAAATGACCTAATGTATATTTTGACAATATATAATTGAAACGTTCGAATGCACATGTCAACGATGCACTACCGAAATGGCCAAGTGTACATCTCTCAACAACTTGTATGGTTTATTTTGGTGTCAGCAATAAGACTTGAATCACCTCTTGACTCGACCTTGTTGTAATCGACGATCTGAAATATATGGGGCTACTGATATGGGTATAAGGACATGATCAACATGTTGTTGATATCTTTTGTGCCTCATGGTTGACACATGATCAATAGGTGGTCAACACATAACCAACATCTTGGTACCCCATAGCTAATATATAATCGACACCTTGATGCCTTATGGGTGACACATGGTTAACATCTCAACACCATATGGATAACATTTCAGCATCTAGTAACCAAGTCGAACCAACTGTTATCAAATTTTGGATTTGATGTACTATGACACTACAATCACAATTAAGTTTGAGAGCAACGCATAATATTCCTTGTAATCAGTCTATTATAAGAAGGCTTCTTAAGTGTGTTATCCAAAGATTGATATATTCTCTAAAATTCCTTTCGAATCCTTCAAATCTCAATATAACTAAAGTATAAGAGGAGCATTTATCAAAAATATCTCTGACATAATTCTTAATAACATTTAAAAATATATAGATTTTATTAAATACATGTTGCTAAAAAAAATTATTTCAAATATTATATATACACATACATACACACACACACACACATATATATATATATATATATATATATATATATATATATATATATATATATATATATATATATATATA